TATCTATCTATCTACCTATCTACCTACCTATCTACCTATCTGTCTACTTACCTACCAGATGAATAGAGAAAAGGTTAAACTTGAAAAGGCAGATATGCCCAATCACATACTTTTCCTTGGGATGAATTTGGTTTATAGAGGTTCAGCTGCTTGGTACTCTCTCTATCCCATTCAAGGATGAGTCAGGGAAATAGAGTTCAACCTTGAGATGTCACCATAATAAACAAACACACACACACACACACACACACTCACACTCACACTCACACTCACACTCACACTCACACACACACACAATACCCCTATCTATGGCTCTCTTGTTTTATTTTTATCCTCCTGACCCAGCTGAACCATTCCAGACCATTTTTTCTGCCCAAAATTTTATAACTAAGATTGTACAGTGGACACCCATAAACCCAACACCTAGATTCTTCAATTGTGATGTTTTGCTCCATTTATGCTATGGACTAAATGTATACATCCTCCCAAAATTCGTATGTTAAAGCCCTAATCCTCAGTGAAGCCATTTGAAGGTCTGGTGGTATTTGGGGCCTTTGGAAAGTGATTAGGTCATGAGGGTGACACTCTCGTGAATGGGATTAATACCCTTATACGAAGAGACATGAGAGAGATGATTTTTTTCTTCCTCTTGCTGTGTGAAGACATGACACACAGCCTCCACAACCAGGAGAAATAAATTTCTATAGTTTAAGCCACCCAGTCTATGGTATTTTTGTTATAGCAGTCTGAACTAAGACAGTTTGCTTTCTTATATAAATATCCATCTATCTAAACATCAATCCATCTTAGCTGTAGCCATCATTACTCCTGACCCTAAACATTTCAGCATGCTTTTCATTAACTAGAGTTCAATGTTTTATGGTTCTTTTCTATATTAAGTTAAAATTCACATACAGTGAAATGTACAAATCCTAGTACCATTCAGTAAGTTTTTAAATTAAATTTATTGGGGTGACATTGGTTAATAGGAGCATATAAGTTTCAAGTGTACTTTTCTATGATACATGTTCTATATATTGCATTGTGTGTCCAACACCCAAATAAGTTTTGACAAATGTGAACATCCATTTAACATAAACTTCTATTAAAATATAAAACATGTCCATCACCCCAGAATATTTCCTCCTGTTCCTGTCCAGTCCATCCTGCCACCCAATACCAATCCTGAAGCAACCACTCTTCTACTTCCTAAATTCACTATAGGTGAGTTTTGCCTATTTTAGAACTTCATATAAATGGAATGTTTGGGGGATTCCTCCATGCTGTTAAATGCCTCAGTTAATTTCATTCCTTTGTATTGCTGAATAGTATTCCACAATACAAATATATCTTAATTTGTTGATTCATTCATGAGGACATGAAGACCTTTTGTGGTTTTGGACATTATGAATAAAGCTGCTAGGAACATTCTTGTGCAGATCTTTTTTTAAACTTATAGTTAAATGCCTAAGATGGAACTGCTGGATTTTCAGTGCATTTGACTTGTATAAGAAACTGACAGGAATTTTCCCAAAGTGGTTGTTTCATTTTCCGCTCCCACCAAGAATGTATTCTCCACACTTGGTGGAATTGTTCTTTTCAGTTTTAGCTATTCTGGGGGTGGCGGGAGGTGGAGACTTACATCTCTAAGTAGGCCTCCACCAGCTCCTGTTCATCAGAGTAAAACCTACCCCTCACTGAGCCTTCTCCCCAAGGATTTAACTCAAAAGTTTCGGGATGGGTCTTACATTTCTTCCAAGACCCTAATAGAGGAGAGGAACTTCATCTACTATTTGTCCAACTCTTCTATCTTGCTTAAGAAGACAAGTTTAAAATATCAGAACAGTCATCTGACGGAATCAAGCTCTGAATTCAAAGTTATCTTCTGCTTCATGATATATTTTGAGACAAAAAATTCTCACATCTAAATCCCAGCCTTTGTTTCCAGAAAGATTTAGAACCCTCAATATCCTAGACAAGGAAAGCTCCCAGTACTCAGGCTCAGCGACTCTTTCCCTTCAGATTCCCTAAGAACGATTCTTCACATTATCATAGCCACCCTGTAAGACAGGCTTGATGTCCCCTCTTACAGACTAGATAACTGCACCAATGCCAAGGGTCCCAAGCACAGGATTTGTGACCCTTGCATATACATGTTCCTACATGTGTCTCTCCCCTGGCAGGCACCTCCTTCATGGCGGGCTCTTCCATGGGGCTTTTTGGTCCCACATCCTCCCATCACCTCCACCTTGGAGGCCAGTGCACTTGGCAAGGTCTCTCCACCACCCCCACTCCCAGGCCCACTCATTTCCCCACTTGCATCCTCTCTCCTCCTGTTTCTTCCAACTCTGCTCAATTACCTCATAAAACTCATGTTCCCTCATCCTTTCTCTCCCTTGTCCTCTTCCATATGGGAACTAAAAATGTATTCTAAGCTTGCCTGACGACTGCCAAAGTGGTGCTTGTGGTGTAATGAAGTGAGACATAATGAAGAACCAAAGCCGTCAACAACTAAAGCCCTTGAAAGTGGCAAGAGATCCCTTTCACAAAGGAACCTTCTACTTTCTCAACCCCTCCTAATTGTGCTGGATTTTCCTCAAGGACCAGCATTCTACACAAACAAAAAACTTTTGTCTTCCCTTTTGGGTTTCTGTTTTAATTACTAGCACCGCAGCAACATTGTCTTCTATTACTTTGGTTGTAAAGACACAGCATGTCAATTACATTTTAAGTTAAATTGCAACGCTATGTCTAAGAAAAATCATGTTGTAAATGCCAAACTGACTTAAACTTCTGGAATCAAATCAATTTCTAAATTACTTTTTCCTATTTTGTTGTAAACATTTGTTGTAAGAATTTCCCTTTGGTGTATTTTCTTTCGTATAGAAATGTATGAAAATATAATAGCATCCTCAACATCGCAGCTTTATATGCAATAGCCCTACCTAGAAAGTATATATTACGACCTCATTTTACAGATGAGGAAACTGAGATTCAAAAAACTTTAGCAACTCACAACTAGGAAGTGGCAGAGCCTGAATTTACATATTAGTTTGTTGGCCTCCAGCTGATGTTTCCATAGCCACCATGCTGTACTCCCCCATCTCCTATATTTCCTGGTACCACCCAGCATACAAAATAAAGTTTCCCAGCATCCACTGGAAAGAGCCATCACTGTGTGATTCACCTCCCCCTAATTCTCTGCAGCACCACCAAATTCTTCCCCCAAAATTGTTCAGATCTCACCAAACCCCAGAAGGACAGAAAAAGAGACCAGCAAAAATTCTGAAGATAAAGCATTGAATTCAGCTCTTTCATCAATCCAAAGCTATTTTTAAAAGCAAAGCTGATCCAGAGACAGAGAAACATTGATCAGATGCTCAAACCTCAGAGGGAAGGTAGGGGAGGGTGGGGGTAAGGGGGAGAGATCAACCAAAGGACTTGTATGCATGCATAAAAGCATAACCAATGGACACAGACACCAGGGGTGAGGCATGAACGGGAGTGGGGTGGGGGGGCAGAGGGGGGGATAAGGACACATATGTAATACCTTAATCAATAAAGAAAAAAATGCAAAGCTGTATCTAACAAAGCTTACCTGTGCAAATAGCACCTAATATATATGTTAAATAGCTCTCACCTGGTTCTGAGTGCCAACACAGATTATAGTTTATGTAGCTGTATATTCTGTTATCCAGAGTGTGGGGGCTTTCCACGAACTTGCTCTAATAGCTTTAATACAGATTGGCTAACAAAATACCATTGAATGGAGACTTCATGGGATGCAGCACAGTTAAAGGCTAAAAAGAGTAAGAGTCCCTCCCCCAAAATAAAAAATAAGAGCCCAGATTTGGTTGGTAGAACCAACCTTTTTCTACCAGCTATGCTGGCTCTTCATTGATGCTGACATGAGGCCGGAATTTACTGCCCTGCGCAGCCTATCATGTAGTTATTGATTTCATCCTTATTTCAGGAAGACTTTGTTGCTGATGGTGACAGGCTCACTTGCACTCCACTCTACCCCCTTCTAATTTACCTTCCTATACTTGAAAGGCTGGAAATTCAACATTTTTCAGACTCTCTTGCAGCTAGCATTCTGGATACAAATTTGGATCCTTTGAGTAGATGTATTTACATGAGATCCACAAGGCAGAACAGAGGCAAAAATTATCTTCCTGCCCCCCCGCTTTAAGCTGTTTTTTGCTGACAAACAAGATCATTAAAGGTAAACTCATTGTTAGCAACATCATTTCAGTGCTCAATCTCTAACTTCTTGGGCTTTGAAAGGTAGTTGGCAGGAGCTGCTTTCTTATTCTGATTTCCTGAACCCTGGACTGCAGCTATTGGAGTAAGTCTTGAGCCCTTTTTTCCAGTGGTGATCTCAGAAGTGGTGAGGCAGGCCTGTGTTGCCCCAGATCTTCCTCCTCCATCAATACCATAACCACTAACATTTCTAGTATCCTCACTATGTGTTAGGCACTGTGCTAACACTGTACATAAATCATTTTATTTGCACCCCAAAAGAAACCCCATGAGGAAGATATTATTAATTATTTTTTTCTCTAAATGAGTGTACCAAGATTAAGGCAAGCGCATTGCACAGATCAGAGCAAAGCTAGTAGGTAAGCAAGTAGACCTGCCTCTTTGAAGGTGTATGAGAGCCTTGAATCTGTAGGAAAATATCCTGTTTATCCAGCCACGGAAATGTAATTGCCCATACATATTATGATGCTGAAAAGACACCATTCTTTTCTCTTACACAATATACACATAGAGGTCAGCCTATTTCATGTCAAGATGTGTCTAGGTATCAAAGAAGCCTCCAATCTAATTAAATAGAAAGACAATTAAAAAGCACAGAGGTATCACTCTGTAAAAAACTCTCTAAGCTATACCAAGATCACTTTTATTGTAAAAGTTAAAGACTTAAGATGAAAGCACACACAGCCTTGTACTTGCTCCTGGAAGGAACAGAGCTGGGGGAATAGACATGCACTTACCAGGCGCTCTGTTCACAGCGAGGTTTCGGAAATGGCTGCCTTTGATCATTTCCACAGATAATCGCCCCGTTGTGGCATTGTAGGACAGCCCCACCAACAGCTCTGGTGCCCCTCCATGAGACAGCGACTGCGTGGATGAAGCACTATCACTGTGAGAAACGGCAGATGGGCTGAGCGGAGACTCTCCACTCTGGAGGGGAAGAAAAACAAAGAATCCATTGGTGCACGCTGCACTTCTCTCTCTTACAGAAAGCCAATATTATGTTTGGTGAAATTGTGGCCCAGTCTCAATGGCTGCCAAAGATTACGAAGGAAGGGCGCACTCCGTGGGAATGATAATGGGCCTGGGGACGAGATCCCCTGCATTATTAACTGACATCTTTGTTTCAAGAGCTGTCTCCATTCAATAATTCCTCTCCAAAGACAAAACGAACCAAGATGTTATTACTAGTGTAAATCAAACCCTCTAAGATACACAGAGAGCTAATAATACATTTAATATAGACCAAAATTCCCTCCTGTGTGATTTGTGCTCGAGTGCTTCTATGGAACCCATCCACTCCGTTCTCTGCAGCTTTGTGATGAATGGGGCAATTCAAAGGGCATTTTGTCTTCGCTGGGAAAAGAAATGACCACTGGATGTCTACCACCGCATAGGACATTTGGTCCCTAGTTCTGCTTCTAAGGTTGTCAGGAATATGCCTGATGCTCTGTTTTTCCTCCTAAGAACTAAATGACATTGAAAATGAGCACTTTTACAACTTTTTGATAAGGAAGCTGACACATGGACTGAGATCTCAGAGACCTGGCAGGCAACAGGTGAGCCCAGGGAATAGCCTCGGCCTTCTGTTTATTCACGTGCTTGCTTCTCCAAAGCACCCTCTTGATGCAAAGACACATCAAGAAGAAGAGAGGGAAATCGATCACCAAGTTGATTCTCCTTCAGGAAGGGGGAGTAGGAATCAGCTTTGCAAGGGAAACCAGCCAGCCTCCTGGGGCCACCACTTCCTCCACCAGAAATAAGTACATGGAACTTTGCTCAAACCTCTCTTCTCCACATCTAATATCATTTCCTAAAACTTCTTATCAGAAACTCCAATGAATAAATGAATTAAGAGTAATTAAGTATTCTTTACATCTGTAGGAAAATATCCTATTTATCCAGCCATCTAGAGCCCCTGCTTTCATGGAACACAATTTGTAAACTATAGGGCCAGGTGGTTTTGATAAGCACCTTAGATAAGAACCTATTGGGTATGATAACCCGACAATGGAATATTTGTTTAGTTTTGGATGAGGATCCCCCCTCCCCTGTGTTTCTACAGAAGCATCTACTGTGGGCTGTATAGTTTGCCTCTCCCAGCAAATTCCCAATCCTTATAAACCTCAGGCCACAGTGCATATAATCATGCTTAACCAATAACTGGCGAATGGAAAATTTTTTATCCTCGGAGTTCTTTCATGCTGACTCATGTTCCCCACTCAACTCTGTGCTCCCAGAGCACAGCACAGGGCCTGGCACAGGTAACGGGGGTGTGATCATACCTAACCCTGAGCTCTATAGTGCTGGTAGGACACCTGACCTCCTGTGGCTTCTGTTGTTCACGATTTCAGATATGCTTTACTCAGAGCTTAAGGAAAAATAAGGGTTTGAGCAGAGATGCGACGTGATCTGGCTTATGCTTTAAAAGGCTCATTGTGAGCCCATGTTGGGCATAGTCTGAGGGGCAGGGAGAACGTAGGAGGTCATTTCTTCCAGCAGAGAGTCGGGTTCTGGTTGTATTTTTGAAGACAGAGCCAATAGGATTTCAGGTGGAAAGGAGAGAAGTCACAAATGACTTGTAAGATTTTTGATCTGAGCAACTAAAAGGATGAAATTGCCTTTAGCCAAGATTGGAAGACCACAGGTGGAATAGAATTAGGGAGGCAAAAATCAGGATGTCGACTCAGGAGATATTAATTTTGAGACATCTACTAAAAATATAATTGGCTGGATCTCCCATGGCTACATTCTAACCTTTCTGACTCCTTTCCTCTTCTTCAGACATGATGAGTACCTTCCCACCCCAACACCTGCGTGTGCCATTCTGTCTGACATCCTTGTCCTCCACATGTCACCAGCTTTTTTCTTGATTTCTTGAATTCTGTATTTTATCACCACCTCAAAGAAACTGTCTCTGACTCTTTTGAACAAACAGCAGCCTCAGTCATTGTCTTTCCTTCCTGTTTTGGTTTACCTACTGTCGCCCTCCTCCGCCAGATTGCAAGCTCCCTGAGGATGGAACAATCGCCTGTTTTGTCCTTTCCTGAATCCCCTTCATGGCACCTGACACAGAACAGGCACTCAGTAAACATCTCTGAATGAATGACTGATTGGCCCAAGAGAGCGACCTGATCTTTTTACATGTTTTTTAAAAGGTAATAGTCACACTACACATTACCGATGGCAATAGTGAGATGTCCATCTTGCAGACATACAAGCTGCACTTTCTTTCCTCAAAACCCCAGGGGAGGCAGAGGATGGGGCAGATGGAGGCGTTTGGTCATATAAATGGAAGGTCTTCAAAGTGGCTGGAGTTTTAGGCGACTGTTTGCAGCCATAAGCATATGTGTCAAGCACCTCACCTTGAGAGTCCCATCTCTGAGTGCATCATAATGCATATTGTGGGAGGAGCAGGAGTATGGGTGGTAGGACCATTTATTAACTAACTAGAAGGCCTAGCCACCTCTCCTGGTTTTCCCATGCCCAACACACACTGTGCTCTTATTTCTTAAAATGGACATCCATCCGGTTATAAGGAAGACGGGCATGAAAAACCCAGGGAAGCATAAAGTGCAAATCATGGCTTATAAGGATGAGGAGAACCAAATGGAAAATTATATTAAAGTGTTGAATTTCACAGGCCGAATGTACTAAATCAAGGGCTGACAATTCCACATCCTTGAACACACCACGTCACTGGCAGCACCATCTAACCTACTCACACTGATGTTACTTCTTGGCTCCAGAACCAGAGTCACTTTCATTTCCCCTTCTGGGTGCAGGTGGCTGAGATAGAACAGCTTCTCTCCCATCATTTTCTCACGGGTCATCTTGCGGGCAGCGTACAGGCGGAAGCGGACGGCACAGACAGCCACATCTCTGGGCTCCAGCTTGGTGAAGGTGACCTTCTCCTTGAAGACAGGGTTGGGCCCTCTCTGAATGCTCGTCCTGCCCCTCTGTTTCTTACTGGGCAGCAGGACTACATGAACTTGCCAGGAGTTGATGCCACTTCGGTCCTTATCCGGAAGGCCCTGTGCTCTCACAATGGTCACTGTGAGTTTCTGGCTGGCAGCTCTATATTCAAAGATGACATCCAGATCACCACACTTTGGGATGGGCTCTGGGACCCCTGATGGCAGCTGAAAATCAGCCCCATCCTGCTCCTGTTGTAGACAAAGGAAAAGATTAGGAATGGAAATGATAATACCCACTGCGTTTCGGTGAGACGATGCCCCTCTGCTCCTTCAGAACCCTGCACTTTTTAACTGTGAGCTCAGATCCCTCTATATTAGAAAGGTATATTTATTGGTCTATCTCTCCATTAGATTGTGAATTTTTTGAGGGCACAGTGCCTGGAACACAGGGAGACTTCATGAATGCTTTTGGAACAAATGAACAAAGCTTTTATGTTTTACAGTATCTTTCTCTCAAAAAGCATAACTGACCACTATCATTGAAACCAACTGAGATGCAAAATCTAAAATGAGTAAGCTACACAACTGCCAAGGGGTAACTTTACCTTAAGTCCCAAGAGAAATGGTTGAGCCTGGACCTGTGCTCTATGGGCCAGGACCTCCTGAAGACAAGAATCCTAATAAAATCAGGGTCATGGACAGGTGATCCCTCAGTAGATATTCAGTCTACATGGGAGAAAAGCTTAGGGCAGAGCTTCTCAAATGCCTGTGTGGACTTGAATCATTAGGAGACTCTTACTCAGTAGGACTGGGGTGGGGCCTGAGATTCTACATTTTTCAGAAGCTGAGGAGGATATCACAGTTGTCCTCGAAGCACATTTTGAGTAGCAAAGGTCTAGGGTGGCATCCCCAGCAGCCATTTAGTGAGCAGCAACATTGGACTTGGAGACAGAACACCTAGGCTGAATGTATACACGAGTGTCAAGCAGAAATCATCAATCTACCACTGACTAGCTTTTTGATCCTGGCCAAATAGACCATCCTTTCTGTACTCTCATTAGAAAAAAAAAAGAGAGCATTAAGATGCCTACTTGATAGAGTGCTGTTGTGAGGTTTTAACAGATGTGAAAAAAATACCTGGCTCAGAACAGACTCCATAAATATCTATTCCCATGAATAGACTGGTGCTACCTATTTTCAAACAGGCTCCCCTCATTATGAAATATCACCTTTAGACAGCAATTCACCTGTAGCCAGTCAGATCTGATGACCTCACCGAGAAAACTGAGCTGAGCTGCATTTACTGTAATGAGTCACCCTCCAACAGACTATAAATCATGTCAACCTAATTTGATTTTCCCTCCGAAGGCATGACTCTTGCCCATAACTAAACTTTGGTCTGATTTCTTATTGTAAATCAGAATCAGTCCTTATTTATGTAATGGAACACCAGACTTCGCTAATTCAAAAACCTCTTTATTTAAATTATATATATATATATATATATATATATATATATATATATATATATATATAAACTAAAACACCAGAATAATGCACACGCAGCAACATAACTTTCCAACAGAGTTCAAGTAAAAGTGCATAGTCCTCTGGAATGAGACAGCCTTAGGAATCCCAGGTCTACCTCCTGCTACCTCAGTGACATTGGGCAAGTTATTTAATCTTTTCCACTTCCTATTTTTCTAAATATTAACATGAAGAGGATACCTACTTTATAGGGTTGTTGTGAAAATTAAAGGACTTGACTTATAGAAGACATCTATTAAATGTCCTCTCAAGATTCACATTAGTCTACCAGGAAAATTTAGGCTTCTTGCAAAATAAGGGTAGCTTCTTCTATCTTTTCCTCTGAGCATGCATGCATTCATGTGTGAGTGTTTCTATTCAGAGGTTCTTGGTTTCAAGTCATAAAAGTGGTTGCTATAGAGACTTTTGAATACAACTGACTAGTGTAGATATAATATTAGCAGCAAGTCTCCAAGGAGTGAGGCCAACTCAAAACTCAAGTCACAGACTTCTGTTAAAATTCCCATCTATTTTAGTCTACTCGTGATCATCTCTATATTGCTTGTCAGAACATAAGTAATAATAGCCAGCCAACATGGCTCACTGGTTGAGCACTGAGCTATGAAACAGGAGGTCATGGTTCAATTCCGGGTCAGGGCACATGCCTACGTTGTGGGGTTGATCTCCAGTAGGGGGAGTGCAGAAGGCAGCCAATCAATGATTCTCTCTTGTCATTGATGTTTCTCTCTCTCTCTCCCTCTCCCTTCCTCTCTGAAATCAATAAAAATATATTTAAAAAAATAAGTAATAATATATAACATATACTAAGCCCTCCCTTATGCCAGGTACCATACTAAACCCTTTATAGACTACAAAAGCCTGCTTTTATGCACTTCAAACTTTCTTGGCCTCACCTTTTATTCCATCTTCCCCTACAGGCCCAGCCTGTCTGGGCTCTAAGTGGCTTTAGCCTGGAGAAACTTAATAAAGCCTTACCTCCTGCCATGCCACATAGCTCTTAGCTCCCACCACAGGCTCTCTGCTGGTGTCAAGATGTGGAAAGTCCCAGAATCCTGCTTGGCACTCATGTATAGAAAGTCCAGAGTGTGGGGAGACTTCATGCCTCATACACTAAACTTTTCTCCCCTTGGAAAGATGTCCTGAGATTAGTTTGTACAGCTTCACAGAGTACAGTCCCACAGGATCAAGCCATGAGTCACACTTAATGGTGCCAACTTGATTATACTCATAATGACACTCCGTTCTTCCCTGCCTCACTCCCATGTCCCTCACTCTTCCTTGGGGTTGCATGTCCTGTCCTTTTCGGGAAATGCAGCTAAGAAATATTATCTTTTAAAATATTCACTTTAACCTAATGAGGTATGTATTTTAATATCTTCCTTTTTATAGGAAACCAAGGCTTAGAAAGGCTAAGTAATTCATTCCATGCCCCCAACATCATAAGCCCAGCCAGGACTATCCAGGATTTACCCATATTAATGCTTAAAATCCCAAACATTATGTTGAACCATGATGTCTCCCTTCTTCTCCCCAAAACCTTTCGCCATAGCAATTTCTGTGTATAGTAACTGTGTGAGATGCAGAGGGAATAAGATTGGAGAAGAGAGTTGAAAACATGCACTACTTGGAATTTCACATCCTTTTAGGCCCTGCTCTTAATACTAGTTAACAGTTCCCAGTTCTGTCATCAACTTCAATGCCAAGGTAAAAATATCCTAGTTAATGACTTTCTCTCCACTTATCCTTCAGGCTGTCTATTCAGATAAATGCTCACTGCACCTGCGGGTTTGTGGTAAAGTCCTGGAAGGGGAGAGGGGCCTGAAATAACTGAGTAAGACAACTCCAGGCAGAGACCAGGCTGTGGATGGGGACATTCAAACTGCAGCCCATGAAAACGTAGCCCCTTCCTTCGATGGTCTGAAATGAAGATTTGTGAAGGCAGGTACTTTCAGAGCAATTAATCATTTCAACACATATTACCTATCACCAGGCAACTAAAGCCGCTCCTCACGTGGGTACGGTTAATATCACTAATCCATTTGACCTTCCTGCAAGGTAAAAATCTCTTCATTTTTATCCCCATTTGGCAGATTTTAATTAACTTCTCAAGGCCAACCAGTTAATCAGTGGGAACAGATGAAAAGTGGGACACCCCCCTCCCTGTGTGCTCAGCATCACCAGCCACCTTCCCATCGTCCTCCCCACCAAGCCTTGAGTGCAGGGAAAAGTCTTCCCGGCCAGGAAGCACAGCGCATGGAAATCCATCAGACTAACAGGGAGTCACACTGCATGACCTGTTTCCTTCTGAGTCCAAATAAAATTGGATTCCTTTAGCTCTAATAGCCTGGGTTTTTCTTTAGGATGGGAATACTTGTGCCACATTGTCAAAAAACCATGTAGGTTTAAAGATTTTTCTATCAAATTGAAAGCCTCTTTTGTCTTAGTAAAATAGTATTGATGTCATCTGTGTGGCCCAGAGTAAACAGACCCACGATATGTTCCCGATGCCAGATACAGGGGGAAGACAGGGCTCTTAATACAGCTAAGAGGCAAATAAATCAATTCTTAAAAGGCGAGCTAAGCCTGCCAAGCAGGCAGTTACAGGAACTGTCTCCGAGCTGCATTTGAGGTTCTACTGTAAGAGCACAAATTACAGTTTTTGTCTCAAAATAGATATAGGAGGTTGAATGGAGCACACAGAGATGTCTGGGTATTTTGGGAGTCTGAGAACATTTAGTGCCCTCAACACCAAGTCTTCTATTAAAGCTCCATGAGGTAGGCAAATGGGCGATTACCTGGAGAAGCAATTCCAGGCTAATGGCATAGTGATCAAGGGGACGGAGTATCACTAGGTAGGTAAACAGTGCTGTTTTGTTTTTGTGGTGAGGGAGCCAAATAGAATGTTACTGTGTGGGATTTAGTATGACTCTTGGCAGTAAACTGACAAGAAAGCACAATTGTTTTACAAAACGTATAAGGTTAATAGCTTTGGGTGTCTCTAATATGAAGGGCTGCTTTTAACAAGCTGCACACACATATCTGAGTTACCATCTACTGTCCTTAGCAGAAACACCAATACAGGGGCATGCACACACATGTGCATATCTATCTCCTTACACTCTCTCTGCACGCCTCAGTGTGTCAGGATTTGGAACATGATTTCCTCTAATTGTTTTCCTTCTCCTTGGTGAGCATTTGGTGTTTATGACAGTCCAGGCCCTAATAAGAGATTTACCCTGTTTATTTTCTCAGTCAGACTGATGCTAACAAAACCCATTCACCCTTCTCCTTCCTCTATCCCCACAAATTACAAAGAAGTTTTATATATTTATATATGACTTATTTCATCAAAATTAATTTCAGTGAAGGTATTAGACACCACAATTGAATATCTCTTAATGTTATAGAATCATTTTAGGAGGGATCTAGCTAATAAGGAATAACCGTGAATACCTGTAAGATAAAACAATATTTGCAAAATCCTTATCACAGTGCTTGGCACATAGTAATTGCTCAATAAATGGTAATTTCTAGCACCATCACCTCCAGTCCAACCTTTGGTTACCTAGGTGTATTCTGGACTAAGTTTTAATTGAAAAATAAATTTAGAAGAAGCATCTTTTATCGTAGATTTACTTCAGAAAGCAAAGTCAATGGCCAGACTAATGCCATCTCTTAGACCTTCAATTCAATGAAAAGCCAACAAATATACTGCAAGATTGTCATCATAATATCTTGTATAATTTCATTTGGAGGGCCACTGTATTTTAATTAATTTTCAAATAATTCTCATATTCAAATAATCATTACTCAAGATTTGGAGTAAATAAAAATAGATTCCAATTAATTGAAACCATAAAAAAGTCTCTCTAAAGAACTAAAATCTCCTTTATGTAAAAAAGAAGCCTAGTTGTTTCTGGGCCCATTATGCCACCATTCTTCTTTCTTTTTTTCCATTTTGATAGAAATTTATATGATTCTTTTATTGGTCCACATAGGTGTCAGGTCTTGGTCATCTGAACAAAAGTTTATTTAAATAAGGGCTCTTTAGGTCTTCGTTTAAGGCAATGCTTTCTTTTTGGAGAAATCTTTTCTTGAAGGCTGGGGAGGGGAGGAGAGCAAGAACTAGACAGAGCAAAAACACTGAAGCAAGAAGAAAATGGAAAATAAGTCACTTGCCTCTGGGCTCCACACGGAGGAACTATCGGTGGCATAGGAGTCTTCAAGTCCCCGGTTATTAAAAGCGGCTTCCATCTCCAAGCTGCCCTCTGTGGACTGGCGACTGAGCCTGTGGACCACACTGGTCTCCTGGGGAGATGCACCATGGTGCCTGGTATCCCCCACCTCACATAGGGACTGTGCATGGGCAGAGGTGGGCTCATCTTCACCATAAGACAAATTCTCAGAATAATGCAGTTGCCTTGCTCCATCCAAATCTAAATTTGCAATAAGGAAACTATTTCAAATATATTATTAGTTTATACATTTTATCTAGAGAAACTGAGCAATAGCAACTACATCAATCGAAACCTCAAAAACAAAACCCATAAAGTAACACCTGCAGAAACATAATTTCACTCATACAGTGGATAAACTTGGTCCATATAATCAAAAAGACCATTGGTTCATTATGTGGGGTAAAGGTTAAGTACTTTCTAATAATATGAGTATAAAAGATGTGTGTTTCTATTAGGAGAATAAATTAAACACATTAGCATTTTGTTGGAGCCAATGACCCCAAGACTTTGGGGATGGATCTAGGATGCAAGAACAGCAATCTACTATGGAGACCACATGGTCTCCTGACTCTACCATTCTTTTTTTTCTCTTCCATGTTCAACATATTACCCTCTGCTCAAAAGGCTTCAGTGGTTTTCTCAAGAAGGAAGTTCTTTACTTGATCCATGCAAAGAACACTAGACTTGGATTCAGATATTCTGGATTTAAGAACTTGAATAATTTGAGCTGCCTGAACCTTTGTTTCCTTATCTATAAAATGATGATATAAACCATCAGAGAGACACATCAAATAATATCTGCCTGGTAGCCACAAAGCCTTCCATAAATATTAGCCTTGCTTACTTGTCTGGCCCACACTGGCCTCATCCAACCCAGCACACCTCACTTTCTACTACCTCCCAACTCTGTCACCTGTGGCCTCACTGGCTCCTGAAAATGCTACTTGGGTATTTCTGTTCACAGAGGTTCTCAAGCCCTCACTCTTGTCCTTTCCTCCTGTCCATCTGAAGCCTCAAAAACTCAATCTTTCTTGACTCCTTCAAACTCGGTATTTTTCTCAGACTTCATTTTCTTCCTCCTCTTCTCCTCTCTTCTCCTCTCCTCTCCTCTCCTCTCCTCTCCTCTCCTCTCCTCTCCTCTCCTCTCCTCCTCTCTCTCTCTCTCTCTCTCTCTCTCTCTCTTTCTTTCTCCCTCTCTCTCTCTCCCTCTCCCCCTCTCTCAGTTCTTCCTTACTCTGTTCATCCTCTGCCTCTCCTTCAATGTCTAGGTTACCCTCATATTGGAAGGAAAAACTGACAGCTTCTTCCTAAGCTGTTGCCTTCACCCAGACTTGCCTCCTACATCCAAAAGGTAGCCAAGGATGTCTTATCTCTTTGGCCTTCAGGCTACCCCAGTAGCCCCCATCCCAGGATGAGAGATATAGACAGAATAAGTGAGTAGATGACAAGGTATCTATAAATTCAGCTCTTATGTATACACTGTATGACATCAATTTTTTCCACTGTAAGTCAAAGTTTCAGCTAGAACATCCACTCCTTGAAAGCACTAAGCCACATGTATCTACTGCTCCTACCCGTGGACTTCACTAAACCCTCAAATAACTTCAAAGGCTGGGCAGGTACCAAATACTTGAAGCAGCCAAGTGTGCAGCAATATGGAGTGCTGGTGGCAGTGGTTTACTAGACCCACTTATATTAAACAGGCAAATTAAAAATATAGTATCGTCTTTGCAAACCACATGAAAACACTTTCAGGCAGGCTTGGTCCTCAGTGCACAACTTCAGACCCCTTATTTGGGATTTTTCAAAACCCTGGCAAGCCATTGAGAAGTTCTACTATCTGCCTTCCTATTCTTAAAAATTCAGTTCAGCCTCCCCTGGGGACACGTTCATAGGACATCAGAACATTTTTACAGTCGCACTTTCAGTTATTTGGCAAATACGCTTTTAAAAAGGCCACAGAAAATGACAAACAAAACAAAGGCTATTGCATATGCAAAACCCTACAACATAAAGCAGAATTTTCTTCCAAGGCTCTAATTAGCACATCCATTCCTCACATGCGTGAACACTAAAATGTCCTATTAAACAGTGGGTCATCCATCAACGTGTGTAGCACCCAGCAGGGTTTCAGCACAAAAATCTAACTTTGCCAAGAAATTACTCCCATAAAATTGTCTCATGACTTCAACTCCTACAGTGATAATACCTAGATCAGCAATAAGAGAATTTTTGAAAGCTACATCAAGCCTTGAAAAGCTTTTCATAACTGAAAAACATAAGACCTATATTAATGTAACAAACCATTTTCTTTGACAGACATTCAAGGATGAATTAGGCAAGCAAAGCTGGGGTGGAAGTCAAGTTGCAAGGAGCAAGAAAGGGAAAGGTGATTCACCGTTATATAAAGCAGTCTTCCCAGACTTTAAATTAAAGAAGATCATGTCACCTTAAACACATACAGAAAAGTAATTGCCTGTTGTCAGAGAAATGTATCCTGGCTTTGTAGAAATTATAGGGCATAATTATGTCACATCAATCCTATAAATTTCAGCAGAGAAATCCTGGAATTTATTTAGTCCATATCCCACTTTGATGGAATGTAACCAATTACTTTCTTTTACACGCCCAAACTCCTCTCTCCCACCACCACCCACATACAAATACTTTTGCTTGCCATCTATGATAGTTATTGTTAGGTTTCACTGTGGCTAACATATTCAATTAAAACACTAATGTAGTACCTGTTGCTGTACAGGTACTTTATAGAGGGGATTAAAATCCTTAAACAGTTGACTTTAAGTAAAGGAGATTATCTTACATAATCAGTCCATTGAAAGGCCTTAAAGGAGAACTGAGAGATCCCTGGAGATGAAATTTCACCTGTGGACTGCTTTGGCTCATACCTGAGAGTTTAAGCCTAGCTTTCTCAACAGCCATTCCTATGCATTTCAGAACTGTATGATTCTACTGCCCAGCCAGCCCACCTTTCATGCCTAAAGATCTGATGCATAGCCTCTGATCCAGATCACTTAGCCCAAGCCTGACATGAGCAGGAATGCAGTGACAATTAATGCAAAATAACACTAAGTCAGATACATTTGACAAGAGAGAACTTGGCTAGAATAAGAAGACCGTATTGTCTTGGTTCTAAAATAACCTCACACTCAATCTAGAATGAAGGATCTCACTTGAGCTGAAACATGAGACAACCTACCAGTAACTCATTCGAGGTTCAGATTTTACTTGAATTTGGACCTTTAATTTCATCTGTCCAACATTTTGAATGTGTTTTTAAAGTAAGAATTGTCTGCAATTAAATTTGATTGTAGATACTCATGTTTAAGGTAGAGTGAAAAAAAAACACCTAAATAGATAACAAACCAAAAAAATCTTCTTGGGGTACAAACTTAATCTCATCATTATTCTTTATTACTGAAACAAATTCACTGATCTAAAGATGAACAAAAATAAGTAACACAGAAAAAAATCATACAATTAAATTTAGCATGCAGTTATTTATTCCTATGAAAATCCCCCTGTTTTTCTTCAAAATCTACGGGTAATTCATTCACCGTAGTGGACTTTTTCCTCTCTCCAGTAGAGAAAAATTTACCTTTTCTATCACCAGCTCTCAAAAATTTTAGAATCACCAGTGATGACAAAAGTTGTTGCTAATTTCAGGAAGGGGAGAGGTTAGCGTGGTCGTCAGAACTCTCAGAACATCAGCCAATTGAATAAATCAGAAACTAGACACTTAGACTTCTGGGAAATGGGGCCATTAGCTTTAGAATTAAACAAGCTACTCCTAGGGAATAAACTGCTATTAACTTTCATTAGCTAACATGTGCCCTCTCAATGGAGAGGGAGGAATGCTGTGATATAACATGAGAGACAGAGAGTAAAGCAGGAGGGGCTATAAGGACATGATGGACGGTCAGCATTATGCTTTGGTTCCATAAGGCATTTATTTCTTGGCTCACCTTGGGCTAAAAAGTATAGCAATAAAATATGTCATGTTGCCCATATCAAGAAGTAAAATTACATAATGGATAGCAAATGATGATATTCCCGCTGAAAAAAATAGGGTTCTTTTTGTTAGTTCTCCTTTTCTTTTTCCTCTGTTCTTTTTCTGCCTGCCTCATCCACATGCCAAGTCAGAAATTTCCTCTCAATCTCCTCTCAGTTTTGGTCTTCCCCTTTTCTCTTTCCTTTTACTACCTCTATGTGTTGAAAAACCACGGAAGAGCTATAACTATGCCCCCCTTGGTTTGACTGGCCACAGGCCAAAAGGAAAGACAGAACAGATTAGAGAAGCCAGGACGTTCAGACCAGGTCACTGAGGTGCACGGCATGACAGCCTCTTCCCTTTCCCGGTGTCCTGTGCCTACACCGGGTTCTCGGCATAGGAGAGACAGATGCCTGACCTTCGCTGGGGAGAGCACTAAGGTGTATTGCCCTGTTCATTTTCCAGGTTATTTTGTGTAAGTGGAGGACACTTAACAAGCCCTTCCCCCGTCGCAAGCTGTGCTTACCCTGCCCCCGCGTGTCTTCCCCTCCCTCCTATGGAAGGTAAACTTAGTATAAAGATGCTAGGAAGGCATAAGACCTTGCACTTACCCAGCTAGTCTCCTGTGAAGTGTGTGTATGTGTGTGTGGGGGGGGGGGGGCAGAAACTATGGGGAATGAGGGAGAGAGTGCAGGACATGTGTGGTTTGAGAAAGGTTATTCAATATTATTATGATACATGTTTTTATTTGGAAAATAAAGCATACCTATTGTCTTACTAATACAATATTAAAAGAAAGGCTTCAAAACTCGTCTGAAGTTACATAACTATGTGGAAAATAGACTCAACATTGCAAATGGGAGCAAAGGCACAGGGTTTCAATGTCAGCGGACAGGTATATAAAGTTTTTGAACTTATCAGAGGGAAACAAGATGTTATAAAGCTTGATAAATACCATTCTGGTCATTAGTGCTCAACACGCACAAAGTAGTAACTACAGGAAGGAAGGGGTCCCACAAATCAGGGGTCCAGGCTTCGGCACTTCTGCTTTCCATCTCCAGCTCCCTGCAGCCCCCCACCCACCCCCATCCCCACCCCCACCCACCCCCGCCTTCATTCCCCTGAGAAGTGTGGAGCAGCCCTTTCCCTGTCCCAGCCCCTGGCTCCTGCCCCACTTACTCTCCCTCTAGTGACTCACAGAAGCAAGTGCAGAGTTACATGAATCAAAGATGTTCTTCCCGTTGGCCATCCCTGGTCTAGATAGAGGAAGGGTTGGATGCAAAGAATACCTTCACAGGCAGACACCTGGGTTCTGTCCTCTTCCCCGGTAGAGAGCAAATGGCAGACTTTTGGTTTCTGCTCTGATCTTGTCTGCTTGCCTTTCTCAGACACTCTTGACCGGAAGCTCTGGGACCGGGACACAGAAATCTCAAATTGCTTCATCACCTCTTCGTCAGTGTCAGAAGATGTGCACAGCTCTTCATCATTTCCAAAGCTGTTCACTGGGAGCAAACAAGAGCCATGAGTCTCCTGCAGGGCCAGCAAGAATAGAGATATAAGTCTAACCAATGGGCACAGACACCAGGGGGGTGAGGGCATGAGTGGGGGGGGGGGGGCGGGTGGAAGGGCAATGGGGGGATAAGGACACATATGTAATACCTTAATCAATAAAGAGAAAAAATTTTTAAAAAGAATACAGAGATAGACCATCATAGAGAAACAGAAGAACATGGGCAATTGGTCTGGACCAAGCAGTCCCAAATTGGACAGAAAGCATTTAAAGCATGGTTGGAACACACATTTGAGTTCAAATGAATAAACAGGAAGAGACAGCTCATGGGGGGTAATTAGAAGTGCATGGCGAGAACCCAGGAGAAACCATGGGGACAGCCCTAATCTACACAATGAGCCCTCTTGCTGAGCCGGCAGCCCTGCTGATTTGTTATGGTGCTGACACGTTCTCATAACTGGGAAGAGGACCATTATCCGTGCACGTGCCTCATGCAGATCTAGTCACCGTGACAGAAAAGCTCTTTGCTTCATCTCAGCTATTAAAACCCAGAGCCAACTGAGGTTTGCCAAAATCTTCCTGGTTTTGAAAAGAGACATCCATAGTGTGTGTGTGTGTGTGTGTGTGTGTGTGTGTGTGTGTGTATGTGTGTGTGTGTGATCCTGTTGTTCTGATGCCTTTCTCAACACCAACAACCCAACCCAAATACCCTTTGAATTACTTATACTGCTTCCCCCACATTCCCCACATCCCAGCACACAGGTCCTCTCTCAGTTTCTCCATCATGCCCAAATCATCCCCGCCTTAGAGTTCTTTGCCTTTGTTGTTCTTCTGCCTGGAACCCTCCCTACCCTGGCTCCTCTCATCATTCAGATGTCAGCTCCACTGTCACTCTACCCTAATCACTTTCCACAGCCTGCCTGAAGCAGTTCATAGCACTTTCCATCTTTCTCTCTTCTCTTCCATAACTTCCATAAAAATAAAAACATCACCTGTTTTGTTAACCCATGTGTGCCCATTATGTAAAACAATACTTGTTGCATAGTGAGTGCTTAATAGACACTTGTTAAGTGTTGAATAAATTGGTGAACACCCAGTGTTTTATCCCAACCCTGAAGCACTCTCCCCACCACATACACACAGTTCCCTGTGCCTGGAACACTCCTCAGCCCCCTTCCAGACTAGTCAAGAATCTAGCTCACATTCAGGTCTCAGCATTGACATGAGTTCTTCCAGAAAGCCCTTCCTGACCCCTTAAATCATGTTCAAGTCTCCTTCCACGTGCTGTAAAGTCTCTCTATGCCCTGCCCTGGCAGTGCTCCCTCCGGAGTGTGGCAGAATTACCTGTGTAATTGCCAACCATTCCACCTAATCTGTGCACACATGAGGGTAAGAGTACATCAGACCGCCCAGCTCTGCATCCCTCCAGGCCTGATCTCTGTGCCAGGCACATGGCAGACTACTCTGTAAATATTTTCTGAATGTGACTTGGAAATGAAAAATAATGAGAAATTATTTTTTGAAAATTTCCTCCTTCCATCCAAAAGTCACAATGATTCTGGGGAAGAATGTGGTTGCTAATTCACAGATGGCTCCTAAGATCACTTCCGAATCAGAAGCTAAGCAGACATTAAAAAGCCATATTTTAAGTGAGAGAAAATACTTTAAAACACCAGTCTGGTCAAAACACTTATTCTCTGGCTCATGTAAGAGTTGATATGTTTGAGGTTCTTTGGGAGACTAGTAATAATAACAAGCACTTTCTGAATATGTTTTATGTGCCAGCAACTGTCCTAAGTGCCTTGCACATATTATCTCATTTAACCCACACAAAATCTCTATTATTATTCCTATTTTCCAAGTAAGAAAATTGAGGCAGGGTGAAGTCTACAGCTGGCTGAGATAACACTGCCAATAAACGATAGAATCAAGACTTGAATTAAGGCAGCCTGCCTCTCGAGGCCACGTTTCTAATCCCCATGCTGGAGAACCAGAGAGAGCTGGTGGAAGTAATCCTTATTCTGCATACTCACACTAACTAGCTGAATCCCTGTCGCCAAGTCCCTTAACTTCTCTGGCCCTGCTTCCTCATTTGTGGGTTAATCCTAACATCTGGATCATTTCCCAGGTCTTTTCTTGATCTAAATTCTCCGACTCCCAACTTCCTGCCCACAGGCATTAAAATTTTATGTTTCTCTATTTTTTTTGGGGGGGGGGCGGGGGGTAGCAGCTAATCCAAGAACATGGGAGCACATTGTTGTCAGTTCACTCAATTCTATCAGCTGTGACCAGTGCCATGGGAGGACCTGAGAAGCTAAGTGTCAGAAGAGACTAGATTTTCCATTCATAATCCAATGCATTCCAACAAAAAACCACCACAATGAGCTGCCTGCTCATGTCTCAACATGCTGGGCACTGCACTCTGGAATGGGGTGAACCATCACATAGGGGAGACATCCAGAGACATAGTGAGGCAAAATTAAACTCCACCTTTAGCGTATAAAACCAGCTACACACCTGGGAGGGAGACAGAGGGATATATGCCCAGGAGGGGTGGATGGATTAGACATCTGTTTAGAGCTCTTTTCATCTCTGAGATTCCATTCTACTTGTATTGCTAGGCAGGCATTTTTAAAATTTAACTGGTCATAAGTCATCAATTTCAAATTAAGTGAGTTAGCTCATGGATATTTCCCCACATATAAAATCAGTAATTAGAATTCATTAATTTATCAGTATGTGGTCCTTGGTGGTGGTGGTGTTGTTGTTTTTCCAGTAAGTCACTGATCACCCACAGAGCAAGATTCGCCTCACTGATACAATAATCATGATAGTAATTGTAACATTTCCCATTTACTAAACACATACTATATGCCAGACACCTTTCTTGGAACGTTGCGTGTATTATCCCATTTAATCATCATAGCAACACCAGGAAGTAGAGATTATTCTTATTCCTGTTGTAGAGATGGGAAACAGAGGCACAGAGAAGTTCAGTAACTTGCCCAAGGCAACACAGTTAAGTAGCAAAGCTGAGGCTTAAACACAGAACCTATATTCTTAGCCGCTGTGCAGATCACCAGACATCATTGCCTCAGGACACTAGAGCCATATCTAGCTTACTTTTCAGGGGAAGTTGAGAGAACTCTGACACTCCTACCCTGAAATCTGCCAGGAGGTTGCCTCCTTTGTGAGAAGGAAAGAGCAGTGAGAAGAATGGTTAGTCCATGTGGGAGTGAATGTTTAGAGACAAGCTGCAGTATAACTGGCTATTGCTCCTTATGGGATTATAAACACACCTGCCATGCTATCTTTAGCCTTACTCCCCAAGGGTCTCAGGGATTCTCTGCCTAAATAGCAAAACCACCCATCCCTCCTGGAAACCACTGAGCAGCAAAGTGCGTCCATGGTGGCACTATTACAATGATAAAATCAACCCGATATACAGCACTTATCATGTGCCAGTCATTGTTCTGGAACTTCGCATATGTTGGTCTATTTACTCCTCACAATAACCCTTAATGAAATAGGTACTTTATTATCCCCATTGTATGGATGAGGAAAGTGAGGTTAGCAATTTGCCACAATAATAGCAGTTAATAAATAGTGGGATCAATATTCAAACCCAGGTTGTCTTGCTCCAAAGACAATGTTATAAATTACCACATAATCTCCTTCTAACCCTCTGCTGTCTCAAGGAAACAACATCTTAAATCCTGGTCAAAATCAATATAACTTGTTTTGTCACTAAGACAAAATCACATAGGTTGGACTGGAAAGGATTTTCATAAGCATCTATCTATTCTCATTTTTACAAAGAGAAACCAAAGCCCAAAGAGGCAAAGTGGTCTGCCCACAGCTGTACCATGCCAGGACCAAACATGGGTCTCCAGTGTCCCACATGAATGAGTTTGCTACATTATCTTCCAAGCTCTATCGCCAATGAGCTATTTTTTCACACTAAAATCTTTACTTGTCTTTATGAATTATTCCAGTGATTGTGGGGGTTGAGGGGGTGGAGGTGGAAGGGGGCATAGAGGGAATAAATGGTGATGGAAGAAAAAGTGCATTAGAAATAAATATAAAAATAAACAAATAAAATAAAAAGAAAAACCCCAACTACTCACCTTGTAATGAATCTATGTCAACAACTAAATAATGAATCTGGATTTCACTCAACTGAAATCTTTGATAATCACAAAGTCTCACCTAAGTTGTGGCACTTATCTATCTGATATGTAACGGCATATCAAATACCAAGTTCAAACCCCTTTCAAGCTAAGTAACCCGGGAACAGTGCAGTCGGGATTTGTATTAAAATCTTCACCCCTTCATCTAATTAGCTTGCTAAAATAACAGAAAAAAGTCGCACAATTACCCTGGCCGTAGATATATCTTGAAGTTACCCTTGTTCCTTTCCTCAATCACAGAATGCAGAGAGATCTTAGCTACCACCTACACATCAGACTCTTCTGAACTCTCTCTAATGCACCGCCACTTAGCCTCATCCCTTTGTTCACACACTGCTAAGGTGCTACTGTGGGCTTCTTGCACTGGCAGGAAGATCATGACTTTGACACGAAGAGAGAGCTATCTATAGACCCACAGATATCCAGTCCTACTTCAATGAAGTCATATTGTCCCTCCCTCTGACTTTAATAATTTATTTCTATTTTAAATATATAGGGGCAGAGGAAATGATATCTCCATCTTGCACATTTAAGAGAGGAAGGTAGGTCCCTGTCAAGTGTAACATCAGTTAAAACAAGAGTGGTTAAGGATGTGGAATCTGGAGTCAAGCTGACTGAGTTTGAATCTTCTATTTGCTATTTTAAGACCTAAGCAAGTGGTCTGCCCACAGCTATACCATGCCAGGACCAAATGAGATAAACCATATAAAGGCACTTAGCACATGCCCAGCTTATGATATGTTAACTATTACAATTATGTCCCCTCATGGCAGTGCCCTGTGTAGAAACCCTTTTATAATGC